GCATGGATATCCTTTCTGATCAGGATACCAATTCTATTTCCGTTTAGAATTTTTGCCATGCTGGACCACAGTTCCGCAGCTCCGTTCTCCGCTCTCCGCTCTCCGCTCTGTCGCTCATTAGAAATGTATCCATTTCCCCTTGCATTTTGCGAGCGTTTTTCCCCATCATTTTCCTCATTAGAATAATGGCAAAACTAAATTGGAAATTTAATGACACGCTCCGAATCAGGCTCAGACTCGAACTCAGACTAAGAAGCGACGAAAACTAATTAGACAGAAAACCAACGTAATGTGAGGCAGGCCCCTCCCGAAGCTGTGCCAGAGAGTGCCTGCCGGGGGTGCGGCATGTGGCGTGTAGCTGGCCACGGGTGCGTCGCATGGTCGGCGGGTGGCTCAAACGTGCCTCAACCCACCCCCCTGCCTCACTCATTGCACTTCAAAGCAATTAATTTGCAATAAAAGCATTTTTAATGTCTCTCCGTGTTTAGGTGTGTGTTTGCTTCGGTAAGTGTGTGTGTGTGTGTGTGCTTATTGATGACGCAATACACACCGCAACCAGCCAACAACCACCGACCAAAGCAACGCTCGATGGCGGCTTCGATATCAAATCGATGATTGCGTATACGCCACATTGGTTTCTATTCGCATGCACCTGGAGGGCGGAGGAAGCGGTCAACAGAAAAAAGAGAAAACAGAAAAAAGCAAAGAGATGCTCGTCAAGATCTTCTGGTACAACGCCTTTATTCTATCTCATTTTTAGACAGAATGTTTTTTTTATGTTCATTTATTTTCTCTCCCTATCACGGAGTAGCTTAGCAGTAAAACTGATATTGCATTTCAGTAGCTGTAAAACTCAGTCTTGATCTCTTTCACGGAGCAGCTTGGTAGAAAATGTTGCCTTTTCATGGCTGCTTTCTAATAATTTATATTTTGCGTGTCCCACATTGATGTTATTTTTATTTACTTATCTCAGGTCCAGCATTTTGCCACTTTTCGTCTAGTATATCGCACAGTTCTTAGCTCTTTGATTCATGGTATCCCCATGAATCGCAAATATGATCCTCAACACCCAGCCATCTCGCTCTGCCCTTTAACATTTCAGCGATTTCTGTGAAACATTTCAAAATATTTCTTCGTGTGGTTTTTATAGAGCAAGATCCTCCCATCCACTGCTTTCAAATGGGCTGCTCCTCACGCTCCCCTCGCTACCGTAATCCTCTCCTCTATTTGCTACTAGATTTACTGGGGCTTATCGTTCTCAAACAATCCCTCTACTTGTATCAGTTTTTTTAAGGGGGTGTGGACTCTGCTTCTAAAACTGCTGTCATTGCGACTTTCAGCGTGACTTTGTTGTCCGAGTGAACGTGTCGAGCTTTGGGGGGTTGAGATCTGTGGAGCGGTCACGTAGTGTGTTCCACGTTTTACGCGCGGCTAGCGCTGGGGGTGAAGTGCATTGCAGCGTCCTGTCGTTTTGTGGCATCCTATGTGTCCTGTCCAGCTGTCGTATCCCACACACACACACATTGTCACGCAATCACGCGTCAACTGTTGGTCTGCCCCCTGCCAGCCCTCTGCTCTCCGCCTTCACTGAAATTATGGCTTCAACATTTTTCGTTCCTTTTTCTTTTGCTGGCTTCCCCTTTTTGGGGTAACTGTCTAAAACTATGTACAAATTCGAAGACAGTCACGCTCCACTTCTTCTCTCTCTCTCTCGCCGTATCCATGTCTCTCCATGTTTCTCTTTCTTCTTCTGTCTCTTTGTGCCTCTTATTTGATCGATTTTTGGGCCTTTACACAAGTGGCCACGCCCATTGGCCACCCCTCGGTTGCTAGTCCCTAGAGCCCTGTTTCCGCTTCTCTCTTTCCACAACAGTTGTCATAATAATGTTATGTGATTCCCCTCCCCGCCATGACCTGACCTTGAATGACGCGTTTTATTTTTGTATTGATTTCTTTTTAAGTTAATTAAAAAAGGAAGCAACCAAAAAAAAAAAGGCCAATAAAGAGAGAGAGATAAAATGGAAGAAAAAAGCAGCCTGCGAAATGAGCGATGCAATTGTTTAATCATGTGAGCCTCCTCCTCCTTCCAGAACTCCAGTAAAGTGGCATCAAGTGTCGCTGCTCAAGTGGTGCACTGGAGGCACTTGCAACATGAAATGCAAAGTGACACCAGCCACAGCGCCACCTCAGTGAGTGAGCGTGACAGCGCGAGAGCAGAAAGGAAGCGCAACCGCAAAGAGTGAGGGAGAACGAAGGCGGTGATAAGAGGAAATGCAAAAAAAAGATACTCGGGAAATGTATTTGGGGATTTCCATCAATTAATACAAAAACGAGAAGGGACGTGTGAGACGCTTCTATCGCGTCACAACTTTTATACCCGGCACTCAGTACTACATCTGCACCTTAGCGGTGTTTAGTCAAATTTTAAATATTTTCTTCATCTGTCATCTACATCTAAAACACTTCTCACACCAACACGCTCCTTTAGCTCGCCCCCCTTCCCTAGACCCACACACTGCAGACTCGCGGCAGAGGCAGAAGCAACGCCCGCGCACAAAAAAAAACAAATATAAGCTGCGGGACGGGGTGGGTTAAAAGACGGCAGAGGCAGAGGGATGGCAGAGGCAGGGGCCGAGTGAAGCAGAAGCAGAGTGTGAATGAGAGAATGTGAAAAGAATAACAAAAGCTGCGGGACAGGGTGGCTTTAGCCACTGGAAATTAATTTCTTCATTGTGGCTATAATAATGATCCAATCGGATATCAATTTGTTGATCTGATAGATATGGCCATTCCCTACGGCATGGCGTTTAGTCTTTTTAATCTTCAAAATTGTAGATTTGGGAGGTTTTCGCCCTTTTGCCGGGGCGGAAGGAGGCGTGGCTCATTTTTGAAATACACTTGCAACAGTGTGAGCATACAGAAGTCTGGATGCAACATTTGGTGGCTCTAGCTTTTATGGTCTCTGAGATCCAGGCGCTCAACAAGACGGACGGACAGACGGACGGACAGACTGACATGGCTCAATCGACTCAGCTATTGATGTATTCATTCCACGCATCACGTGCAAAGGATCCTGCTGCCGATTCCCTCAGGAAAATAGGAATTTAATGCGGTGGGGATTTAGGAATCATTGGGGCTTATCGTGCTTCTATCCTATCCGATTCCCTTCAGCGCCCACCTGGGTCAGGCATGATCAATTTCCTTGCTTTTCGGTTTCCGTTTGAATAGCCACCGCCACAAATTTGAGCGCTTTTCCTCAAAATCAATTATAAAATGAGGCCGCCGCAGAGGCTGGTTGCCCCTTTACACGTTTCGGCAGCACCCACCCCGTCTGGACCTCATGGGACACAGTTTGTTTAGGGGCGGACAGGGAAAACCACGGAGCAAACATTGGACATTTTTGCCACGAACAGTGTTTTTGCTTTTGGTGTTTTTTGTTTTGCACTTTATTTTGTTGTTGTTGTGAATTTCAGCGCTCGCCTAAACCTGCAGGTAATCCACACCTCTGCCTATTCCGCTCAGCCTATTGCTAACCATGCGATTCCACCCCCCATGTGATTCCTCTCTCGGCTGGCGACTAATTTTCATGTCCGCACGGACAAGTTTTGTGCAATTTCCGCCCAGGGATTGGTAAAGGGATAGGCGTAGGAGGGTTGCCGGTGTGTCGTCGATTGGGGGCTCATGTGTCCGGCAATTATGCCACACCCACGGCGCCTCGATTCCCAATTGAGTTTACTTCCGCTGCCTCCCACCCGCAGACACTCTCTAAACTCCTTTGATTACATTCTGGTTTGTCGCCTGCATACATCAAATATTTGTTAATAATCTGTGCAACAACAGGATGAGTCGACGAGCATCACTCTGCTCATGTCACTCTATGCGGGAGCATTGCTGCAAGTTATGTTTTAGATGAAAGGTAAGGCCAAACTAGGGCCCCAACTATTTCTCTCTCTCGGAGTAGCTAAGCACTACAGATGTCTACCTCTTTCTTGGTTCACTCTCTGCTGCAAGGCAGGTTTTTGTTGTAAGCTTTCTAGTGTGGAAAAAGAGGTCTGCTCGCAGGACTGCAGCAGCAGCACCTTCTGCCTTAATGCCCCTTGCCCTTTGACCCAAATTGCCCTTTTCACGACTCGCTGTTGTCTCTTGCTGTGTGTTTCTTTTTCCCTTTTTTCTGTTGCTGTTTGTAATGCAATCAACATGAAAATAATGAATACAATTAAAAGTAAACAATCCGCGAGTGTTTTTGCTTTCTGTCTCGCTCTCGCTCTGCGTGTGTGTGTGTGTGTTTTTTCCAATTTTAATTAAACAGGCAAACGGGTGCAGTGCATCCCACTGCATACTTTTATGCGCAATTTCCTCAAATCGAATTACCAGCGACATTCTCCCATGGAAGACCAGGGCCACCGCACAGTTCATGGCCGGACATGGCCGTGCACGGGAGAACTGCCATCGTCATGGAAACTCGATTAACCCAGGCTGCAAAGGTAATTATTGAGTGGGGCTCCACTCCCACTCCACTGCACTTCTGTGAGCATGCATTCTGTGGACGCCACAGAAGAACAGAAGAACTCAAAGAACTCAAGAAAGTGTGTCAGACAGACACTTGCTGGCTGGGAGGGGAGTATTACTTACTGGATGGAGTGGAAGAAAAGTGAATGAGAATGAATATGAATATATGAATAGCCTCACTCACCGCTTGCCAGCTAATTGGATGGCGAATCATCAAAGTGTGAAAACGAGCATCAGAGTGGGTGTGGGCGAATTGAAGTGGGGTTTCGATTGGATTGGAATGAAGATTAAGATGAAGATGAAGCTGTGGGTTTGGACGGGGCACGCGACGCCAATTGACGAGGCATGACGATGCACACAGCATTCCGGCATGCGGGACTCATTTGCATACCCCAGACTTTCTACTTGAGATTTGAGATTTGAGTGGAAGGTACGGTAGGTACCAGACATGGGATATACTTTCTACTTTCTGGGCGAATGGGGGTACTCACCCTTCAACAGATGCTGCAAGATGTTGTCCTTGTGCTCCTCGGAATGCGGCTCCCCGAGCACGATCAGCAGATAGCATCCGGTCAGGGGGCTGGGCGGACCCACCATGCCACCGGCCAGGCTGGAGGCCACACCGCCGCCGTCCGAGCCGGCCGTGTCCAACGGTGCCCGTCCACCGATCTCCGACGGTGGCAGAGAGCTGGCACCGGCATCGGTGGCCGCATCGTCGCCAACATCGGTGCTACCACCGGCCTCGTTGTCCGCCTGTCCCTGGACACCATCTGGTTCCTGCGACTCCTGCAACTCCGGCGGTGGATGCTCCGGTCCGTTGCCGTTGCCGTTGCCGTTGCCATTACCGTTACCATTACCGTTTCCATTGGCCATGGCAATGGCAATGCCAACGGCTTCTTGGGTCGCGGCGGCCATAACGGTGTCACCCTCAGTCGCTACTGAACCCGCTGCTGATCCTCCTGCAGCCGACCCTCCACTGGTAGTTGTTGTTGTTGCCTTTGGCTGATCTCCCATCACAGTTGTTGTTGGTTGTTGTTGCTGGTTGTTTGGTTTTGCTTTTGTCTCTTTGCTTTGATTTCTTTGTCACACAGGAAAAAAAAACTTGTTCTTACACTTAGAAAAAAAATACAACGGTTAACCGATTAACACTATAGTGAGCTCCCTTGCACTGGCGCTTCCACTGCTCGCTGCTCGCTGCAGTCTGTCTGGCTGTCTCTGTCTGGATTTAACACTCGCAAAATTTCTTGGAAATATTGCGGTAAACCGTTCTCTGCGGACTGCGGATTGTGACTGCGACTGAGGGGCGAGTGTTGGTGCGTGACGCTGACTTCTGCTGCTTCTGCTGCTGCTGCTGCTGCTGCTGCTGATTCTCCTTCCCTTTGCTTTTGCTTTTGTTTGTATTTTCGTTTGTTGTTGTTGTACTTTTAGTTGTTTGCTGGCCGTGACTTTTGGCGCAGTCTTTTCTTTGCTTTTTCCTCCGAGAAGACTAGAGAATGGTTCGCTTAATTGGTTTTCTTTTCGTTTGGTTTTTGTCTTGCTTAATATTTCTGGAATTGGAATTGGAATTGGAATTGGCTTTGGTTTTTGCTTTTGTTGCTATTATTGTGCACACTTCATGAAGCTGTGGTCTATGCTTTCTTTTGTTTTTTATTTTTTAATGCAAATCTCTTTGGTTTTTATTAATTTTTGCTTTGGTTTTTCTTTGGAGTACTTAAGTTTTTGTTTGTTTTGTTTTTGTTTCTTTTGCGGCAATTGGCGTGTTCTCTGAAGTATATTTTTCTTTTGTATTAGTTAAACGGTGTATACATTAGACGTACAATACATATATCGCATATGTATGTATCGTGTATATATTTTTCGTATATTTAGTGAAGATTTTGGACTAGCTTTTGGTTTTTCGTTTTTAGCAATTTTTACTTTACCTTTGGTTTTGCGTTTTTGTTGTATTCGTAATAGTTTATCAATAATAATTTTTTTTGGTTTGTGTTTGAAACATGAAAATTCGATTTTTTTTGTTTTTTCTCGCTTTTGTGGTTTTTTCTCTCTCGTTTTTGGTTTTTGTCTTTGTCTGAAATGAATCAAGATACGAGATCCGAGATCCGAGCCGCTGATCTCCGTCTATAGCCTTTTGGGGCTAGATTGATTCTCAGTTGGACTTTTCGCTTTTAGCTCTCTCCGCGTTTGCACGGCGACACTCTTTCCATCAATCCTCGGATCTGCAAATGAAGAATATATCGTTATAGATCGTAAGGACACAAGCGATTCTATCGGTCTGTCTGTTTGTCTTTGCAATATGTTTGGCCTCCTCTGTGGAAAGTAGCGAACTTGTTTCGCTTTCCCTTCTTTTGGTTACATGAATAAAATATTCTACACAATCTGTTCGTGGAATTGAAGTTCAGTCCAGAAATACTCCTAGTTTTTCCTAAAGGATTCCTACTTCTTTCATCGTCTGATGGTTTCCCGTCTGTTTCTACGCTTCCCTGGCGTAATGCCCATCGAAATATGACTGTCATCTCCACTCTCTGCTCTCTCCATTTGTGCCCCAACACTCGGTATCCCAGCGGAGCTAGCTGCCACACAGACCAGACACAGACACAGACACAGCTACAGTCACAGCCGAAGCGCAGGAGCCGGGCGAGGAAGGGCCGCCGGAGGAGAAGGAATGGCTATAAAAAGACGAGCCACAGACAGGAGGCGGCCCTCGGCTCTGCAAATATAAAATGCATTGAACTTTGGCCGTCTTGCAGATATAGACCAGCGCACATATGCATCATCAAGGGGTACAACGGGACGCGGGGAAAACAGCAGCGCGATTCCCTGGGTGGACAGACACACGCCCCAAAAAGATGTCGTCATCGGTTGGACGCGCTCCATGGCAACGACAACGACAACGACAACGACAGCGACAGCGACAACCACGACGTGGCAGGCGACGGCTACGGCGACGTCATCAGGCTGCTACACCAATCCCTCCCCTGGCCGGTTGCATGCGAAAACTATAAAAAGCAACGATGGGACGGACAGGCATAGGGGAGGAGGAGGCGGCAGAGGTGGCAGGCTGAGCAACTCCTTTTGATATTTCTGTCGCCCTTGCTGTTGTTGCAATCCTTCAACTTATGTTTCTCCCCAACCCCATCTAGCCGGCCTGCAGTCGGTCGGTCGCGTGGCCCAGCCCGAAGGTGGGGGGGCCCCACGTCCCGCTCCAGTGCCTGCCACTCCGGATGATTCACCAGAGAGCACCACCGCGGAGTTGCCGGCCTGCTTTTGGTAGGACATTCCCTGTACACCCTTTGTCCGCTCTGCCGCTTTGCCGTTTGCCGGCGGTCATGGATGACGGATGAGTTTTCTCTCCTTGTATTTTGGGACACTCATGTGTGCTCCATCCACACAAACAGAGATCTGTCTATGGCTTTGATCTGTTTTGGACTGGACAGTGGGATCAGTGGACAGCCTACCTATCGATCGACTGTGGGAAGTGCGGGACTGGGTGGATGGGGGGATTGTGGAAGTGAAGCAGAAGTTGCACCATCGCCAAAGGAAGTTGTAGAATCAATAGGTCACACACACACACACACACACACAAACGCACACACACACACACAGACATTGTGGCAAGGAAAGCACGTGCTGGTGGTGGTGTGCCGGGCTAAGAGTGGAGAGTGCTGGAGGTGGAGCGTGCACCAGTTCTTGCACCACGTTATATGATATCACCGCAAAAAAAAGAAGCCACAGTAAAAAAAAGGAGCACTTGGAAAAAAAAACGTATAGTTAATTGCAACAATCTATTCTTCGGCGCTGTGGCATGTGGCTGTGGCAAGTTGTAACTTGCAACTTCCTCCTCTGCCCAACCGCCTTAAGATTTACATTTGACTCTATCTCTCTCGCTCTCTCTCTCTCTCTTTCTATCTCTCAGTAGTATCTGTGTGTCTCCTGCTTTTTGGCTGCTCTGCTGGCGCTGGCTGGGGGGCTCTTGGTTGGATTTCGATCCCTGGCGTGTGTTCTCCCGTTTGCTGCAAACGTTTTGAAAGCTCGACGACGACTGATTCTACGGACGAGCCAAGTGGCACCACGAAGCGACGACTACGACCACGACGCCAGCAACAGCAACAGCCACAGCGGCAGCGCCATCGACTGCGACAGCGACAGCGGCGTCCGTCAGTCGGTAACTCCAGTTTTCAGCTGCTGCTGTTATTGGAATTTCCAGCTGGGGCTGGCTGGGTGGCTGCCTGGCGCAGCGCTGCTCCCCCACGCCACCTCCTTGCACAGCTGTGGGCCGAGAGGAAGGCTCGTCGTCGCCGTTGTCGTCGTCGTCTTCGTCTCCTTGCTGCAGCTGTTTGTTGTTGCTGGCCGGCTCGGGGCGACTGAAAGCTGATTCGCCGCTTCCAGCTAACGGTTATGCCCCGGTTCCGTTCGGCTCGTTCCGATTTCGCCTCGTTTAATTTTTTTGTTGTTTTTTTGTGCCGATTCGTTTTGGCACCGGTAACCGGCATTGGCACCGGCACCCGGTCCAACGCTGCTCCGACTCCTGACCCATGCTCATCCCCCACCAGCAATTGTCGATTTTTCCTTCCAGAGTTTACATTTTGGAACAATTTATCTTTGCTGCTTACTTTTCAGAATTCACGTAGTCTTGGCAGTTGGCGCCGGCTAAGGGAACGGCTAATCTCTCGCTCTTTGGTGCGACTGCAACCTGGTGGTCGACTGCACAAGACACTCGGGGAACAACAACTGCCAGACTGTCTGGCAGCGCAGCGACAGTGGACAGTGTCGGGAAAGCCGACTGTCGGAACTGTCGGAACTGTCGGGACTGTTGGGAATGGAATGCGACGCAGTCCTGGAAGTCGCTAATGAAATTACGCAATTTCCAGTAACCGTTTGGAGCAAATAGTACTAGAAGCGAGGATCGGTCAGTGGCACTTCCAGGATGTCATCATCTTAAGGTATTCCGATTTAGCTTGTATTGCTTGACCGATACTCCAAACGATCTATGGAGGGAATGGACTTGAATTGGGTACTTCCCTTGGAAGCACTGGAAGACTCCCCTTTACCATCTGATATGGTTTACCGCAACAGCAAGAGAAAGAGCAACAACAACAACAAGATGAATAGCGTCGCAGAGGCGCGAACAGCTGCCATGGTGCCATGGAAGTATTGATTTTACCGCTGTTTTGGGTGCCGGCTATTCGGGTACGAGCCGAACGGCACGACTGTGTTTCGCGTGCTCGTGACCACCATTCAGTGCCCACCCTCCCGTCTGCCGTCTGTCGTCTGTCTTCTGGCACCCACTAAAAACAGCTGACTCTTGCTGCCTGTGTGTTGTGTGTGTGTGTGTATCTGTGCTTGTGTAACGCTCAGCTGAGCGAACCAACCAACCGTTGGAAATTTGAAGTTGAGGCATGCCGCACACATCTTGGCATCTTTGGCTCTCCTGCTGCTGCTGCTGCTGCTGCTGCTGGTGCTGTTCGCTGGGATGCAACATGCAAAGTTATGCCGCCAACAACCCGCCCCCCACCACATGACATGACCATCATATCGGAGCAGAGCAGTGTAGAGCTGTGCACAGCGGGGCAGAGAGATGGATTTGCCTGCTGCTGGTCTGATCATGAAATGCAGTCAGCCATTGCCCTGACCTACGACACTTTCTCCCCACCTCCCATCACTCCTCCTCCTCCTCCTCCTCCTCCTCTTTCTATTTTACTCACCTTTTGGCTGTGGTATATACTATGTATATCTGTAGTATTTTAACGGGATATTTGTTATTTTCACTTGGATTTCCTTTGCTTTTGGAATTATTATGGTTCAATCTTCACATTACCTTTGGATGGAACCAGTTGCTAGTTTGCTATTTGCAGTTTTCCTTCTGGTTTAAAAGCTGTTATTCTCCCAATCTCTCTTTTCGTCGCTCTGGGTTTAGTTTCTTTGGTTTTTTTCTATATTAATATCTATGCACAAAAATGGACTGCTGGGCACTTTATCTGGCTTGGATAATTATTATATTGTTATATTTTCAGCACACAAAGCGGACGCGATTGGCATTAAGCGATTGGCAAGAAACTAGAATTAATTTGAATATTGTTTACGTTATTTTGGAGAATATTTCTTCTGGCTCATTGGCAACTTTAAGTTTCAGAGTTGCCCGAAACCGAAATAAACTTTAGACGGATATTGATTTTTAACTGCTGTCGCACTCTCTGCTGCTGCTGCTGCTGCCGCTGCTGCTGCTGCTGTCGGCGCCGCTTCTGTAGCTGCTGCTGTTGCTGTTGTTCCTGATGATGGCGCTGTCGAGACCAGCGGGGCGGCGCCACCCCGTTGCACCTAATTGATTGATTGCCACAAGTTCGAGCTCCGGCGAGTGCTCGCAACAATTTCACATTAAACGGTTTAGCAATTTTCGCTTCTTTTTTTCAAGCTATGGTTATATTATTTTTTTCGTAGCTTTTATTTTTTCTTCGCTGGCGACTGCTGTTCTCGGCTGATTCTGGACTCTGACGACTCTGGACGCTGTTCGGGCTCTGCCTGTGCTTCTGCTACGGCTCTGCTGGGGCTCTGCTGCTGCTGCTGCTTGTGCTTGTGCTGTTCGGACCAGCGAGTGCTGTTATTCCCGTTGCCGCTTCACCAACAGTCCCCCTCCCGCCGCGCATCAGTTATTTCCCGCACAACCTTTTGCACATTTTTCCAATCCAATGCAAAACACACTAACACACATCGGCCTTCGGTCTTCAGCTTCGGCTGTCGCTTCGTCTTCGGGCGCTGGCTCCTCTTCTTCGGTCCAAGCGGCGTTCGTTTTTTGGCACATTGGAAGTCCCCTCGGGCCCCCCTTGGAGCCCACCAAACATGTGATGGAGCCGCGCACCTCGCCCCTCCCTCTGTCCAGGCTTCCAGCGACGCAGGCGCAGGTCTCGCAGCCGCAGAGCCGCAGAGCCGAACAGCTGATTGCCGACGACAGCGAGGGAGACGCCAAGCCTTCAGGCGGGTGGCTTGGCATGGGGAGCCGGTCGGAGCGTAAACCGTAGAGCAGCAGCCGATGTCCGATGGCGCTGGCGCTGGCGATGCCGTCGGTAAATGCCAGAAATGGAATGCAAATGTGGCCGCAGGAAATGCCTTGGGATATCGGATAGTGCAGAAGAGTTCACAGAAGTGCCGGAGATAGCCTCATGGTGAACGCAGACTATGAAGTCCTTCTTTATGTACACCTATTAAAGTCTCCTGGTATAGCCTGTACATGTAACCTGGATTTATGGGCATTCATGGAGACCAGCATTTTATCATGGTGCAATAATAAGGAAATTCTAATTTCCAATTGGCTTCATTTTCGTTACTTGAAAGCTTTCCAGAGTCTATAGTCCTATAAGTCTATAGTCTATAAGTCCAAAACGTAGACTAGAAAACCAATCGAAATATCTACCAATGCAGGTATTCAAAGAGTGCTTCGGTTTTCGATACATTTCTTCTTGCAGGATTGAATACCGCTTATAAGGATTTGGTTTCCATAAAAAGTAAGGCAAAATCAGTCAGCTTTCATTTTCTGATATGAAATACGTTTCTTTTTTTGCTAAAGTTAAGAGCACGAAAACTACTATAAATCAAAGTCGTCTTTTATGAATTCTTGTGCACAGATTTAAGCTGTTGGTTGAATCGATTTCGGACTTAAAAGCAGGTGATTTTGCTTAAAACTTCAGTTATTCTGTTGCTCGTCTCGGGGCTACTCCTGCAGCAACCGCCAAGCAGGAGGAGCAGCAGAAGGGAACAGCGGAGAGAAAGCGGCAGTAGAGGGAACCACAGGGGAACAAGCCCAGCCCAGCCACGCCCAGTTTAATCCAATCAGAGGCCCAAAACTCCCATCCAATGCCAAAGTGAGGGCGTGAGAAAAGGGAAGGTAGAAGTAAAGAAGAAAGCAAGAAAAAGAAAGACCAAAAGCAACAGAAACAACAGCAACAGCAGCAAAGGCAAAGGACGGCGAATCCTCGAGCCGAAATTCGAAATTTGAATTTGAATTCAGCGCTGGATTTCATTTAATTATAACTCAACACGAAATGGCGTTGCAAATACGAGGCTGGCGCCGGTTGCAAGTCGAGGCAAATGCCTATAGACCATGCCCCACCCCGGCTCTGGCGCGTATAACATTTTGCGACACGACACACAGGTCCCTCCGCCCCACTCCACTCCATAACACATGAGCAAAGGAGGCAGCGAGGACATTGGCAAAGTTGAAGTTGCAGTCGGAGCATGCCAAAAATATTGAAATGTAATAAATACGATGGGGGGCGGTGATGCAGGGTAGTTGTGTGGGAAAGAGACAGCTGCACTTTTGTGGCACCTGCATCGCGTGCGCAGCTCACTTGTCCCCACCATGTCCCTCCCCTGCCCTCTATCCACACGCAGTGGCCCACCAGTCCCCATTTTAGCCCACTTTTATGATGGCTATAAAAAGATATTTGAAAAAAACAGGAAGCAATTTTGAACTAAAAATGGATAACATCGAGAAAACAAACAGACACGGGACATGTGCATGTTCCTTCTATTCTATTTTCTTGCTTTAATACTACATTCTTACACTAGTGGGCCGTATTTGGGAGTGGGCGCCCAACGCCCGCGGTGCTGCCCCAAAGCTCCTTCCTACTCCGTCTCCTGCTTACGCCTTCTCGCCAAAACTCTCAGAGTTCTGCGACCGCTTCCCATGCCCTTGGCTCGGCCAGCATGATCGGCACCAAGGTCTCGGTAGAGATCCGACGTACAGGATCTGCGGCGTCACAACACTCGTCGGGCCTCTGGTGTTGAGAAGCATTCGCGAGAGCGCTCCTGCGGTTCCGCTGGCCTTCCTCTGCACGTACTCCAAGTGCTCCTTGAAGGAGAGGAGACTGTCGATGAGCACCTCGAGGTAGCTACGTGCTATATTCTGCAGGTATCCAGGGATTTTGAAATTTGGACCCTCCTCTCCATCTAGAACCAGCGCAGGCTTCCTCTGCCGTTTTTACCACCTTGGAGATGGCGTCCAGCGTCGACCACCTTCTGAACCTAAACCTGGACATGTGCATGTGCATGTGCATGTGTGTGTGTGTGTGACGTCATTGATGCTATAAGCATTTTCCCCTTCATTTTCTTTGCTTAGTTTTCATTTTCCACGAATATCCACCTGGTCTGCTCTCTCTCTCTCTCTCTCTCTCTCGCTCTTATTCTTTTATAATTACGCTCATTATAATTGTATTAAATTTCTGGGGCTTTTTAATTATAACGGCACTCGAGCTCTCACTCACTCGCTCGCTGTCTCGCTCGCACGCTCATTTCCGTTCGGCATTTGGCGCCCACCTAACGCCACCTGGCGGAGCAATATGGCAGCAACAGCAGCGGCAGCGAAACAAATTGCGCTTTTATTAATTAGAAGAAACGGCGCAAAGAGAGAGAGAGAGAGGGAGAGAGAGAGTGGGAGAGAGAGAGAGATAGA